GAAAAATCAATAAATGAATGAATGAATGACCTCTGGTCAACCTCTCACAATCAAGCAGGTAACATGGTGACATGGGGTGAAGCTGGCACAACTACATAGATGTTAATGCACAGATGCCCACCAGGGACCAGGAACAAACTCTCCCATTGACCCCACCAATGACCCACTGTGGTAGATACTTTTTTCTTTATTGGGATAAAATACGCATAACACAAAATCAGCCATTTTAACAATTTCAAAGTGCACAATTCAGTGGCATTAATCACATTCACACAATTGTACAACCGTTGCCATTATCTAGTTCCAGAATTTTTCATCACCCCTAAAGGAAACCCCGTATGTGCTAAGCAGTCACTCCCTGTTCCCCACCAATCCCAGCCCCTGGCAATCATTAATCTTACTTCTATTTCTGTGGATTTGCCTACTTTGAATATTTCGTATAAATGTAGTATGTGGTCTTTTGTTTGGGGGAGTCATCCGTGTTATAGCTTGTATCATTTATTCCTTTTTGTGGCTGAGCGATATTCTCTTGTGTGGATACACCATAATTTGGTTATCTGTTCATCAGTTGGATATTTGGGCCATTTCCACCTTTTGGCTATTGTGAATAATGCTGCTATGAACACTCGTATAATAAGGTTTTGTCTGAACACCTGTTTTTCATTCATTTAGATAGGTACCTAGGAGTAGAATTGACGGATCTTAGGGTAATTCCAGGTTTAACTTATTGAAGAACTACCAGGCTGTTTTCCACAGTGCTGGCACTATTTTATATCCTGTTCCCCACCCCACTGCAACGTACGAAGGTTCCAGCCTCTCCACATCCTCACCAACACTCATTATTTTCCATGTTTTGATTAGGGCCACCCTAGACAGTGCAAAGTAGTATCTCACTGTGGTTTTGATTTGCATTTCCCTAATGACTAATCACAGTGAACATCTTTTCATGTGCTTATTGGCCACTTGTATATCTTCGGAGAAATGCCTATTCAATTCCTTTGCCCATTTTTGAATTGTGTTGTCTTTTTGTTGTTTGGCTGGAAGGGTTATTTACATCTTCTGGATACTAGACTCTTATCAGATATGATTTGCAAATATATTCCCCCATCCTTGGATTGTCTTTTCACTCTCTTTGATAGTGTCCTTTTATATACAATAAGTTTTTAATTTTGCTAAGTTCCAGTGTATCTATTTTTCTTCTGTTGCTTGTGCTTTTCATGTCATATTTAAGAAACCATTGCCAAACCCAAAGTCATGAATATTAACCCCTATGTTTTCTTCTAAGAATTTTATAGTTCTTAGGTATTATATTTAGGTCTTTGATCCATTATGAGTTAATTTTTGCATATGGCATAAGGTTAAGAGTCCAACCTCATTCTTTTCCACGTGGACATTTTGGTAGGTACTTTAATGATCAAGTTTACAGATAAGAACACAGACTGAGGGTGGGTAAATGACTTGTCCAACACCACATGGCCACTGGGAGGTGGAATTGGATTCAGCATCAGGTCTGACTCCCAGCTCGTCCCCTTCCCACGACACCCAAATGCACTTTATTATTTTGTGAGCAGGGGATGCGGAAGGCACAAGCCTAGGAAATAAGACATGGGTTCCAGTCTGGCTCTGGACAAGCTCTTCCTTCTCTCTGGGCCTCAGTCTCCTCTTCTGTAGAATAGGCTGCTGATTTCTAAGAGTCTTTCCTTTTCCTGTTCAAGCCACTGGCACCCCTCAAGCCTCTTGCTCCCCTGCCTTCATTTTCATTTCTTCTCTCAGGAGTGCAGTGGGGGACCTCCCAGCTAAAGCTGCTCTTCTGGCAGGAGCCTCATTATTGGCACAGGGCATGGGCAAAGCCTCATCCCAGGCCTCAGCCGGCCCCTGGACAACACTGCCAGCATCCCCTGGCAGATACCTGCAGCCCCAAGCAACCCCATAGGAAACCCGTGAAACTGTAGAAAATGCAAAGGAAGCTAATGTGAAAAGGGCTCTCCCCACCTGCTGACAGTTTTCTTCACAAGTGTCACAATGAAGCTATTTGAGAATCAGCTTGCAAAGCACCTGGCTGTAAATATCCCTCTCTCGTCCTTAACCAGAAACAAAGCAGTCCCTCCCCTCCTCTAGGAGTGCCCAGAACCAGGGCCTGACCCACAGTGGGTGCACAGTACCTGGTTGAATGAATGAATGAACAAATGAATGAAGATGGCTCCACACACTTCTTATTTCCCTTGATTGCCTTAGACCAGGATGTAGCAAATTTTTCTGAAAATATTTTTGGCTTTGCAGGCCACACAGTCTCTGTCACAACTACTCAGCTCTGCCATTGTAGCACAAAGATAGCCATAGGTGATATATAAATAAGTAGGCCTGGCTGTGTTCCAATAAAACTTTATTGACACACGGTGAAATCTGAATTTCATATAATTTTTATGTGTCACAGAATATAAACCTTCTTTTGATTTTTTTCCAACCATTTTAAAATGTAAAACTCATTCTTATAGCTCACAGTCATACAAAAACAGATGGTGGGCTATATATGGCCCCTGGGCTATAGTTTGCCAACCTTTGGCTTAGACTTTTGCTTTTTTGTTTTTCATTTTATATATTTTTTTTCTTAGTACAGGAATAATATACATTCATTATAGAATAATTAGAAATGACTGACATGCAAATAAAGTAAAATTAAAATCACCTATAATTTTAATACACAAAGATAATTGTTTCTACTAATGAACGTGTATTTTTGAACTCTATCTCACTGCTATTCAATATGATAGCCATCAGCCATCTATGACTATTAAACTTAAAATTAGATACAATTAAACATTCAGGTCTTTGGTTGACTAGTCATTTCAAGTGTTCAACACCTATCTGTGGCTAGTGGCTACCATATTGGACAGCACAGAAGTAGAACATGATTACCATTAGAGAAGGTTCTATTGGACAGCATTGATCTATCTATATCTATTTATATAGATTTAACCAAAAAATAGACAATACCAAATATATGGTTTTTGTGACTTTGTTCATGTAGCATTTTGAGATGACATTTCTATACCATTCAATAATTGACACCTATACTTATTGTTCAACTTATTTTTTCAGTCCAATCCCTACTTGGGCATATTGTTCAATTTCATGCAACCATCTCCCTTCTGAGTCCCTGTTGTACCTTTATTTCCATTTTTTCACTGTGATAAGCAAAATGACAGCAAGCTACTTTATTATTAAACCTTTGTACCCTTCATTGTTTTAAGATAAGTTCATAGAGGTTGGATTGCTGGGTCAAAGGGTAACCTCACTTTGAAGACAGATTTTTTTTTTTTATAGGAATATCCAGTCTGTCTCTGGAAAGGCTATGATCATAGTCCCATCAGCAGTACATGAAATTGTGCACTTCCTTGAAACCTCTGCAAATAATAGTAAATATAGTAATAAAAACGGGCCCATTCTGGTAGGTGAAATTTTTCCATCTCTTTGTTTTAACTTGCCTTTCCTTGACAAAGCATCGTCTCTCAGTTTATTGGCCATTTTATTTCTTCGGTTGGGTCAAGGGCAATAAAGAGATTATCTTCATGGCTTAGGTTTTAAGGGAGAATTGCTAGATTGTCAACACAGGCCCCATAAAGTTCTTCAAGCAAGGTGATAGGATTAACATATCAGAGAGATTGGCAAAACTCAGTTTCAGCAGGTCTGTGGATCAGGTATGCTTTCTGTCTGTTCTTTTGAATTATTCTTACCGATAGTGTTTTTGTGGGAGTTACCTACAGTCAGAGATCACACTAGGAGGTGGGCGTTTGGCAGTTTTTAAATTCATCTGGTTGTTTACTTTATATTCACCTTGGTTCTTTAATTCCTGGACGACAGTTCTCCTTGTCTGATCAGAGACAGGGCAGACTGGACTCCTGGAGAGCAGAAAGTGTGTGTGTGTGGGGGGGTGGGCTCGGGGTTCTGCAAGGTTCCAGCAAGCAGACCAAGGAAACAGTTATTGTTGATCAGGCCGAGTGGGAAGAACCAAGTTGTATTCTTTCTTGGCCTTTTAAGGTCTGGAATCTTTGTTCATCCATTCGTTATGAACACTTGTTGATCCCACGTTGTCCTGATGGGCAGGTTTTTGTGTCTTTGATTTTACCTTGGAATGACTGCATCCTCTTTCCACAATACCTTTAGAAAGCTGTGGGGGCTGTCAATCAATCGCACCTTCGAGTTTCCATGCAGCATTTCATACAACTGGATAAAGGCACCTTATCACATCTGGGGTCTCCTTTACCCCCACGAAGGGGGTACAATTAACTACTGTCCCTATCTGCTATTGAGGAAATCAGGATCAGGGAGGAAAAGCGCCCTGCCCTAGGGCATGCAGAAGGCGCCAATATCTGACTCTAGTCCGGTGCTCCTTGTCTCTGGGGGGTTGAGGGGAAGCGGCGGTCATGGCAGCTGGGGTGCCTGAGACCGAGGGCCCGGGCGCCGGCACTGGGGGAGGGCATGATGCGCCTTCCCTCTCTTTCAAACGGAACCTTTCTGACTCAGTCTCTAGGGTTGCAGAGACCGGATCCAGGCGCAGGGTGGGAGTGACCGGCCACACTTGCCTGCAGCACCGAGGGTCTGAAAACGGGGCGGGGGGAGTTCTTTGAGATCCAGGTTAAATCAGCCTATGGAGGCGCCCCCCACTCCTTTAGGGATGGGGTCCCACCCCTCCCCCATCAAACTTGGTAAGGGTCCCCGGCCGCCTCCTCCGCACCCCGCCCCTCGCCGCCCGCGGGCCCCCTCCCGGCCCCCAGACCAGCCCTCCCGGCCGGGTCTCCGCCGCCCCCCGGCTGGACTCTGCCCCCGCCCCGCCTCCCCCTCCCTCCCGGGGGCGGTGGCCCGTGGCGGGCGTCCCCATTGGCTGCGGCGCGAGCGAGGGCGGGGGCCGGCGGCGCTGATTGGCCGGGGCGGCTCGGCGGAGCCTTGGAGTCCGGCGAGTCGCTGGGGGAGCCGGGCAGACGCCGCGCGCAGCCGGAGCTCGGCGCGAGGATCCCGCGGGTCGCAGGCACAGGTCGCAGCCACAGACCCGAGCCAATAGATCCGAGCCAGAGCCTAGAGGTAAGGGCATGGCGCCGGGTCGCGTAGGGTAGGCCTTTTCCCGGGGAGCCGAGATGGGGTCCTCTGCCCTGCCCCCAGGGAGCAAAACCAGAGCATCTTCCCCCAGAAGCGGAGCCCTTGTCCTCCTGAGACGCGGGTCCCCTCCCGGAAAAGGAAGCGTCTTCCAACCCTCTGCAAAATAGCTGTTTTACCTTCAGAAATGGGGCCCTCCTCCTGCCCCCAGTTCTAGGGATAAGAGTTCCGCTCCCTGATTCGCTCCTTGATATAGACTGTGGCCCCCAAAAGTGGTCCCCAAGAACCTCCTCGTCCCTTTGGAGACTGATGCCCCTTCCCCATCCCTAAAAACTAAGTTTGGATTTCTTCCTTCTCCCCTGTCCCTCTTTCAGAATGATGGGGGTCTTCTCACCTCATAAATAGCAGTGCCCCCCACCATGGAAAATGGAAATTTTGAGAAGTGACCTCCCCCCCACATACAGTAAGACAAGGAAATCCTGGAGCAAACACTCTGCAAGTCCCCCTCCCACCCCACATGGACCTTAGAAATTGGGCTCTGGAGATAGAGGGGCCCCCCTCCCCCTGCCAGAGATCCCTCCCTACCCATAGGGCAAGGTTGCCTCTGACACCACCACACTAAAGACTTTGGGGGATTGTCTCTCTTCCTCTAAAGATATCAGACCAGGGGCTTTCAAAGTCAGGAACAAGGCAAGGGTCTAGCCGCCCATCCAAGTCACCCACTGCCCTCCACCCCTCTCACACCCTCTCACGGAAATCCCAGCCTGCTAATGCCCCATGCCCACCACTCGCATGCCCCCCAATCCCACCTGTACCACCTCCCCCCAACTCTGCTCCCACACCTGGCTGCCCCACCTGTCTAATTCCACCTCACCATTCCACACCCACCCTGGCCAGAGATAAGACCAGAGGAAGTTTAGTGAGATTTAGTGAGACTGATGCTCTTAGAACTAGCATCCCAGGCCTAGAGACCCATCCAGGCACCCCCAAACTCTGACAGAGAGATGGTCTCTGAGGCAGCAGGACCAGTGGGGACGCTCCCATCCGTGACACTCACACAAAGGGCCTTGTCCAGCATGTCCTCCCCTGAGGCGGTCTGAGGGAGGGGCTGCTGGCCCTCTCCCCATTTGTTCCCCGGGTCGCTGCCCACCCCCAAAGCTCCTGTGGGCATTGCTTGGTGGAACCCCCTGGGCGCTCAGCCAAGAGTGATGGGTGCTGCGGGGCCGTCCCTTGGGCTGGGGACAGCGTTGGCTTTGCTGCTTTGATGAAGCTGAATGAACAGGATGTCGATGACCTGAGGGGGGTTGGGGGCAGCTCTTCTCTAGTGGGCCAGGTTTTGGGTTGGGAGGCAAGGGAGAGGGAGGCAGTGAGTTTTGCCTTGTTCTTTGGTGCTGCGGCATGGAGTATGGAGCACTGTGTTTCCTGGAGGCCCAAAGAGGTCAGCCCCTGGGAGAGGTAAACGGCCCAGGCTGGAGTCCTCAGACCTAAAAGGGCTTCTAGATTCAAGACCTTGCCCCTTCCTTTGATAGTTAAACAAACAGAGGCACGAGGAAGGGAGGAAGGGAAGAGACTCGTTCAAGGTCACCCAGCCCATGGGTGACAAAGCCCACCACAACCCCTCCAGGGCCTGCAGGGTACCAGGATCCTGGAGGTTAGCTCCAGGCCTCGCATTTACAGTGGGTACTGCTGGTCCCCAGGTCTGCACTTGTCAGAGGAAGCACCTAGGCTCTGCGAAGGTCATGCAGCTGGAAGGGGCACAGCTGGAACTCAGCGCTGTCCCCGCCAGCCTGCCTTGTGGAATCCATTCCTGAGTGTCTGCACTACACTGCTTACCCCGTGCCATCTTGGTGTTGAGCCCATTGCCAAATCTAGGCTTGCCAAAATTCAGATTGACCCAGGGTAGCTAATAAGATCAGTTGCAATAGGCTGAGGTAGGGACTCCTGCAGGGACCTCAGTTGCATAGATGGGTTAGCTCCAAGAACTTTGGACAGGCCCTGAGGCACTCACGTCCCTTCCTTCCAGGCTCCCTTCCCCCTGGGTCCCTGCCCATTCCCTCAGCCTCCCAGCTCCCTGCAGCATCTTCTCCCTGCTCGGAGCCCTGCATCCTTTCCTGGGCATTGCATGGAAAAGGTGCTGAAACCCTGGCAGATTCCCTAGGATCACCAAGGTGGGCAGCAGGACCAGGTCCCTATGCATGGGACAGTCTGAGGTAGGGGCTCTGCCCTCTCTAGCCCCTGCCCAGTTCCCAGCTGGTGTGCTCCAACTTAAAGCCCAGAGTAAAGTACAGGTGCCAAGGTGTAAAGTTCAGGGCATGAGTAGAACCGTAGTAGAGGGGTCCAGAGGTTGGTACATTGAACCGTCTTATCTGGATCTAGAGCCGAAATCTGCCACTTAACGTGTGATCTTGGGGAAATTATTAACCTCTCTGTGACTGGTCTTCAGGGTAAAATGAAAGAGTTAATCCTGACAAAGTGTGTAGCACATAGCAAATGAGTGGAAGCAATGATTACTATGACAGATGCAAAGTCATAAAACCTATAAAACTGAGGAGTGGAGGAGCTTATTATGGTTTTATGCAAAACTTGTAACCTGTGCTGTAGATAGTCTGCCAGGACTAAGGTGCTTGGAAACAAAGCGATGTCTTCCCAGAGAAACAGGCCACATGCGGAAGGGACCACAGACACTGAAGTCAGATGGAGCCGAGAGCTATGGCTGCCCGGGGAGCCCCAGGCAGGTCATTCACCTCTCTGAGCCTCAGTTCCTCATCTCTGAGTGGGGTTGTTACAGGTGAGCATCAGAGATAGGTCTAGGTCAGGGGTTCTCATCCTCAGCACTGCTGATATTTGGACCAGATCATTCTTTGTTGGGGGGGGGGGTTGTCCTGTGTATTGTGGGATGTGTAGCAGCATCCCTGGCCTCTACCCACTAGAGACCAGGAGCACCCCCCACCCTATGAGTTGTGTCCTTCAGAAATGTTTCCAGACATTGCCAAATGTCCCCTGGGGAGCAAAATCACCCTCCCCCGTCCCCGTTGAGAACAGCTGGTCCAACATACTCCCTTAAACATGATGGATGCTTGATATAAAACAGCTTCCTTCTCCTTGCACAAGCTCCTTTTTCTGGTTTCTACATGATGAGGGGTGAGGGAGAATGTGTCCAGCTATGGAGTCTCTCAATGTTAATGACAATTTTAACTCCTAATGTTTACATAGGACTTTACCGTCTCCAATGTACTGTTATGTCTGTTATACCATTTTCCATTTTACAGATAAGTAAACTAAGGCTCATAGAGGTTGAAAGACTTTTCTAAGAGCATCACTCCACTAGAGGTCAAAGAAACATCTATGCCAGAAATAGTTTTAGAATCAACCTAACTCTGGAGGCTTCTTCCTTCGGATTATTTGGCAGTCGTTGCACACCTTTTGGCCCAGCAATATCACTTAGAAGAAGCAGCTCCTTCAGCAGTGCTCGCTCATGCATGCAGATAACATAGCAATGTCCGCTGCAGGGCTTTGCAACACCAGTATGGGAAGGGGTGACAGTGCAGTGCATTTGTGACTCATGGGAAAGTGAGCAGTCTTTGGAAGAATGAGGTAGATCGACATTCCTGACCTGGAAAGTTCTTCAAGCCCTATTACTTAGTGAAAAAGGTAAAGTCAATAGGGTCAATATAAAGAGGATGATCCCATTTCAAAAAACAAAAGGTAGTTGTAAATATGGAAATGGATAACTAGAGAAGAACCTATATAGTGTATGTGTAAGAATATATCCATAGGGGAAGAAGAAAAGGAATCACGCACAAGCTTCCTGTGCATTAAAATCAAGCAAAGTGCAGCCCATGGAGGTTAAGAGACTTGCTCACACCCGGAGTTACCAGTGGTGGAAACTCGCTGTGAGCTCCCTGAGAGTTCTGGGGCCAAGAGACAGGATCGGAGGCTTCATCTCTGTAGGCTGAGCCTCCTTCCTTGCCAGGGGGGAACTGCTTCTCCCAGCACCAAGGTGGGCCTTGATGTGAGGCTGACCTCAGCAGAACTGGGCTTCCACCAGCATGACAACCTCAGGCCAGCCACTTTCTCTCTCTCTGCTCATTTCTCCATCTGTTTTTTTTTTTCTTTGAAACAGAGTCTCGCTCTGTTACCTGGGTAGAGTACAGTGGCATCAGCCTAGCGTACAGCAACTTCCAACTCCTGGGCCCAAGCAATCCTGCTGCCTCAGCCTCCCGAGTAGCTGGGACTACAGGCATGCGCCACCACGCCCAGCTAAGTTCTCTAGTTTTAGAAATAAAAATAGAAAAATTTTTTATTTTTTCACTCTTGCTCAGGCTGGTCTCAAACTCCTAAGCTCAAACGGTCCTCCTGCCTCAGCCTCCCAGAGTGCTAAGATTACAGGAGTGAGCCACCATGCCCGGCCTGAATATTTCCATATAAATGGAATGATGCAGTATGTGGCCTATTGCATTTGGCTTTTCCACATTGTAGCATGTATCAATGTGACATTCCTTTTATGGCTGAAAAATATAGTTGTATGGTTAGACCACAGTTTGTTTATGCATTCTTCAGTTGATGCACATTAGAATTGTTTCCACCTTTGGGCTATTGTGAATATGTGTGCACAAGTTTTGGTTTGAAGACCTATTGTCAGTTCTTTTGGGTATATGCCCAGGAGTGGAACTTGCAGAGCCTTGCTAACTCTTGTTTAACCTTTTACAAAAAGAAACTGCCACACCGTTTTCCACACTGTTTGACATTCCCACCAGCCACATGTGAGGGTTCTAATGTTTCCTCACCAACACTTGCTATTTTCCATTTTCTGGTTATTGCTATTATGGTCATTCTAGCAAGTGTGACGTGATCTCATTGTGGTTTCAGGTTGCGTTCCCCTAATGACTAATGGTGTTGAGCATCTTCTCATGTGTTTGCTGGCCATTTGTGTGTCGGCTTCAGAGAAATATACACTAAAATTCTTTGCCCATCTTTGAATTAGGTTG